AGTAGGCCAACTAGCACTTCATTTGTCCTGGTGACGTTTTTCCATGGCTGCAATATCGTGATGAAAACGTTTCCTATGTTCGTCGCTTACGGCACAGAAATTTTACGGAAACAAATCGATATAAGAATTTAGAAAATGAAATCTTCACATGAACTACTTCCGTAATTCCACTAAGCAATTTAGGTACAAGATCTGTATAATTTTTGGCTCTTAAATTTTCAAACATATTGTCAAACTCACATAAGTTTATGTATTTGTGATCTAACAAATATGCTCCATAGTTCAACAATTTTAGTTCACTAACTTTCTGAAACTTTCAATTACAGAATACATAATTTCTTTATCGCTCTTTCAACAACTATTTTTTTTGTTTTTATTGTAGCAATTCGCACCAATTTATCAGCTCCTTTGTGCAGTTTTTGAACCTATTCTAGTAGACAATGTGAAGAGCTTAACATTTCATGCTTCAACAATTGTCCAATTTTAATATTTAGTTTATTCCTTTTTTCTGTTTTCTGTAACACAGTCCTTATGTATTCTTAATGCCATATTTTACATAGATCTTGCTTGATTTTTTGTAACTATTTTCCAAAGTTTAAAGTTGAACCTGTTAAATTTTATTTTTCCGTTTTAAAACTGTTAACAAAATTTAAGTTGCTAGGTCTAAAACTAATTCTAGGTGTATAACATTAGTTGTCAGACATACAAAAAAAGGAAATATCCTCTGTATGATTGGGACCGTAGGAGGTGTGAGCTTTTTAAACACAACGGATCGGCGTCACTGACCTAAGTATGGCTGAAAGTCCTGAAATATTGTACTCGTAACTTAGGTAGTTGTCTCAGTAATGGTTATTGTATTTTTGTTTTAAGTCTGCAACATCTAATACACTTTTGTATATACACCCTTGACAGTACTTGTAAATTGAAAACTCCAAACTAAATTCCCTGTGTAATTCTCGTGTTTGTTATAGTAATGCCAGTATAATGATGACAATATACTGTTCATCCGCAAATAACTTTTTTCCAGTTAAAAAATCGATCTACCAAACTGTCTTCTGATGGTTTGTATGTTATAGCAAAACTCGTTTTTTGACGAACTTCCGATTGTATCGATTGTTTTTTGTGAGAACTTAAAATGACGATACAAGACAGAAATATGGTTGAAATGAAATTTTTATTACTATAATATGGTATATAATTTCCATGGATTTAATCTATTAAATTCAGATTTCTGGTAATATGTCCGCCACGACTGTGAGTTTCATGATATATTCGATGAGTCCAGTTCTTGACTATTTTTTGGAATAAATGCGACCGTATGGCGTCAATAGTGGAATCGACATTGGTTTCTAAAGCTTCGGGAGTTGCTGGTTTGTCGGCATAAACCAAATAACTTAACATAGCTCCAATAAACAATTAACGTGAGGCGTTAAATAGCACGAAGAGTGGCCATTAACAAGGGCCCACTTCTGGAAATAAAGTTGTTACCAAATTATAAGTGGATAATAGAAAAAACAGTATTTATTTATGTTTTATTAAAAATCAATGGTTTAACCACATATTCCAGACAAAGCATGTTGTTTCATCAACAACCATTATGGTTTGTAAAAAGTTTAAAGTACTAAATATCCAGTAGAACATTGTCCCTGTGCGAGGCAGATTTCTATGTTAGACCCCATTATAATATAACCCTTAATTTTGAAAATAATATTTTCAAATAGGAAATAAACTGTAAACAATTCTATATAGAGATAAACTGTAAAGAACTATAAACAAAATATTTTTTTTAAGTTTTTGTATTGATTTTATTAATAATCATTTCATTATTGATACATAATCTGTAATGTCTGCAGAAGAACAATAATAGGCGGTGATGATTAATTCGCCTACTGTAGTACATGGAAGGACTAACAATTTTTTTATGTTTTCGGAAAAAATTGTGTTCTTTACATAAAGATTGATAATATTTATCACTACTATCAAAAGTTATTCAAACCGTATTGAACAAGTAATCGTGATGTTGCGCCTCTCTTAACTTCTTTCATCCTTCATATAATGTATACTTTATATATATTCACTTTCTAAAAAAAAAGCTCAAAAAATAATAACTAAATTTGTTTTTTTTTTATATATTTTAAAAATAATTATTATTATTTGAATTTTACTTTTCTCCGTACAAACAACTTATACATTATACGTTCATACTTATATGACAAACACAACTAGGGTAGAACATACACAAAGAATTTTTATTTTGCTCTATTTAAAAATAAAAAGCCCGAAAAGTTATTTTTAAGTTTTATATTTTTAAAGCAAAAATGATAAATGGTATGAGTGATTTAGTTTTATTATTTTTGAGTTCATTTTCTTTTTAATACACAGTTTTCGAAATTGACGGTAAAGAACCATTGAAACATATCCTTAAAATATAAAAGTTCCAGTATCAACAATTGAAGCATCTAGAAGATCTACAAGGAGACAGTTAACTATGATTTGGAAATTAGGAGCCAGTCGTCTAATTCAGTTGACTTAGCGTATGCTATTTCTAGGGCTGAGTACGTATTGGGATTTCTCGAATTGGTGTAAAAATGCTTAAATTTATCAGATGTGGCATTGAACTATATTATATACAAATGGAGTCACAGTTCAGAGAAGCTGAGATCTAAGCGGATCAAATAAAATATGACTTCGGTGTTGGCAATCTTGTTGGATATACTGTATGAAGTTTTGTTAATATAAATTTGAACACTACCCCATTAGGTGTAGCTTAAATGTCTTCATTACACCTATTTTGTAATACTAGCACTACAAAATATAACTCTTCAACTCAAGTTTAGTTTGGTTTAGAGTTTAATTAAAAGTGTGTTGAAATTTCAATCGATTAAGGGTATTGCAGAGGTGTGCAAACTAATCAATCTAATTGAATTATTTGGACTAAAGCTGCCTACACTAATCGCTTGTAATAAATTTTTTAAACTAGCGCTTCAGCAACAGTCTAAAAGCATATTTATTATTGGAGTTGCTTTCGACCACCTAATAAAAAGTTAAACACCAGTCTTACACCAGATGAATTCGTTAGAAATTGATAGTGGTCAGACAACATCAATCTAAAGTGCTGTACATAGCTCATCCATACTTTTTAATTTGTACAGAACCGTCTGTTTACAACTGATTTTCTTAGTCCGTTGACACTAAGGATAAGCCTTTACTATTCTTGTCATGTCCTTCTTCATATTACGCCAAACAAACTGCTACCAAATTTGTTGAATCATCTCCTTAACCTTTAGAAGATTCATCGTGCACATGTTTTATCATTGATATGTACACTAACAACTCGGTAGCTAGGAAATATTGAACATTTAATTTGCAAAGAGAGAAGCAGCTGCTGAATGTCGTACTCTCTGCATTTATTGAATGCAAAACTGATCAAAATCAAACTGGTCCTTACCATGAATCGCCTTCATATGCAATAATAAACAGCACCTTCGTTGCTTTTATCTGGAATATAGTTGATATAAGTGGTAACTAACCTATAAACTGGTGCAGGTGTCGGATTTTATTAAAAAGCCAAAGCAATTGATTTGTGATCCGTCAAAGCAGTGCAAATCTTGTACTTCAACCGTTGCTAAAACTGATACTGAATCTGAAGCAGAAGAATATTGCACAGATGAAAGTGAACTGAAAAAAAAGTTCATAAAAGTTGAAAGTAAAAAAACACTTAGAAAAGAAAAGCGATAATACCCTAACTCCCTTAAACAAATTAGAGGTAAAAAATGATCAACAATATCAGAAAGAAACTAAAATCCCCATACCACCTCCTATAAACGTTAGTAATGTTGAAGACTTCAATAGCTTTAGAAATGAGGTCTTAGAAAAAATAAATTGAATTGTTCAGTTTAAGGCTTTATCCTACAGTAATATCAAGATCGCTTATCAAAATGATAATGATTATCGCCAAATTAAAAGTGTAATTCATGTAGAATCTAAAAATCCTAATGGAAATTTTCATGACTCAACTCAAAAACGAAAAAGCGTACCGATTTGAAATAAGAGAACATACCATCTTGGTCATGAATGGTAAGGGTTTAAAACGTTTAAAAAAAAGTAACAGTCAACGGAATAAAAAATTTCAAATCATACCTACTATACTTCGTAGATATCACACAATGAACTGAGAAGGCTAAAGCGAACAACAACTGATGAGTTAATATAGATAATATTGTATTATAAATTATTTGTATGGAACCCGAATTAAGGTTCAGTAAACTCACACAAGTATTACTTAATATCTATTAAGCACAATCCAGCAATAGTAATAAATTAACAAATAGTTCACACCAACTGCGTCTTACCATTTATCTTATTTTCCTTGATCAACGCCTGACGCTCATCTCACGTTTCTACTGCAACGATACAGCACTAAAAATTAACACTGAATTAAAATCGCATGCGCACAAACTAAACCTAATTCACAGTGATGCTTGTAGGAAATGCAACGAGCCGGATGCAGAGGAAACTCTGGAGCATCTGCTGTGTAACTGCCTGGCTCCCTCGAGAACTCTACAAAAATACTTGGGGGCTGTCAATTTTACCGGACTGGAGTACATATCTGAGGTTTCTAATTTCTAATCTAAAACAGTGTTTTCTTGTTCTTTATTGGATCTTTGTTCAAAACTGCCCTTAAAAAAGATATGTATATTCCAACTACTCGGACCACGACTAAAGTGTTCCTTGGTTTCTTGGTATAAATGAAATAAAAAAACAATTGTCAAAAGAAGTTGCATGCGTTTTGTTGTAACCTTGAAAGTGAAGAATTATGACTAATTTAATACTGAAGACTTCTATTTTGGATCTGAAGTGGGTCTTATCCTATATAAAGAGATAGTATTTCATTTTCTTTAATGACTTTTTCTAACTTTTGCATTCGATTTTCAAAAATGCACTTATATTACTTTTGATAAAAGATACTTGATATAAATTTTGAATTTCCTTCTTTCTAGGTGGAAAGTATGCCTCAAACACAACAGAAATTGGTGAATACCGTAGCTTGATGAGGTTGCACATCAGCGTGTTAAATCAAGCTGAATTCGGCGCCTACCGGTGCGTAGCAAAGAACGCTTTGGGAGACACTGACGGAGCTATTAAGTTATACCGTAAGTATTAGCTCACTCTATGTGAATGAAGTTTAAATCTAATAATTACTTTTGTTTGACACTTTTTCAAACTATTTCATTTAAAATTTTAATAATTAAAATATTTTTGATTAGTACGGCAAATGTTTTTCTGTTTTTCTGTTTTTCGATTGAGTTGTGTACAAAAAAACTTAACGTTCTTCAAAAATTGCTTCATATCTTTGGAATCTGCTTGTGTATAAGCTGTTAATGTGTATTATTGTTTTATTGTTTATTTTTTTATAATATATTTAAATCTTGCTTTGTACTGTTTCAATTATAATTTGAACGAATTTTTTATAGCATTTTACATTTGCAGGCATTCCACCAAACTCAGTGAACCATGTGGACAACTATGAAGGACGATATAAAGGTGAGTGTCAGTGTGAAGTATAAAGCACTTTTCTGTCTTCAAGCAAAACAGTCATTGTGTAGTGGCGAAGGAATTAGGGAAGAGTACGAAGTATGATGAAAATAAAAGCAAAATAATAGCTACTTCGCATTAATTTAGTGGTCCTTTTCGCCTGAAGTGTGCTGTGAGTTGTGTGCCTTCGTTGTGAAAAAAGCACATAATTAAAACAACTAAAAAATATATACCAAAATAATTCATGAGCGGTGGTAGAGGTTTGCGCTCAGAATCACAGCTTGTCTTGGTCGTGTCGTGTCTCTATCCATCACGCTTATGAATTTTTAATAATTTTTGAATTTTTTTTCTTCTTTTAAATTGTACCTGTGTTCTTACATTTTATCTGCTATTTTGTTGTGTCAGTGTTAAAAAAAAGCGAAATAATTTATTTATTTCAAGCTTTAATCCGCAAGAAAAATTTAATCGTTGCTTATCCACCATCCTAGACAGACTAGTCGCAGCGATTTTTTAGTGACTGCTATTAAAACAGTACGTCCTGCTATGCCGATGTACAAAGACTGGTACGTTATGAGATACTTTTGAAGTAGCAAAATAACATAAAATGACTAAATAAATGACAAATAAATGAACTTTATTCTACACTAAAAAATATTTAAACAGTAAGCCAAATTGGTGAAAATAATTAAAAAAACAGAATTATCATTATTAAATTCACTAAAAAGTTTAAATATTTGAAATTAAAATAGGTTATTCAGACGTCTTCTGTATAGATTTTTTATTTGAATATTGTTTTTTCATGTCCGACAATTTGACAATTATTTATTAAGTCCGAAGATGTTTATACAAAAATATTTATTGGGAAATAATTTTTGCTTTGTTATTTCTACGGTTAAATAACCGTAAAATTTTAAAATTTTATAGTTTAAAAAACTTTAAACTGACATCTTGTAAAAATGGAAATATTCACTTATTTCCAACCTATGTAAATTTAACATAAACATGCAATAACAGCAACACGACACTACTAACTCAAAAGACGTTTGAGTTACACATCACAGTACACTACGTTTCACACTCAACACATAATTTAATTCCACTCACTCTAAAAACTTCAATATAATCTAAAATAAAATAGATTAATTTTATTTAATGTATTTGATTAGATTATGCTGGCGCCCAAAAAGGCCACGCGTAGACCATTATGGTCCATTGCGATACCAGATCAGACTTATTTTTTGGCGATTGTGTGCATCACTTAGCGAATTTTATTAGGATTTCAACAGAAACCTCAAATATGTGCTTCAGTCCGGTAAAACTGACAGCCCCAAGTATATTTGTCGAGTTCTCAAGGGAGCCGGGCAGTTACACAGCAGATGCTCTAGAGTGTCCTTTGCATTCGGCTCGTTGCATTTCCTACAAGCATCGCTGTGAATTAGATTTAGTTTGTGGTGTTTAATACATTTTTTATATTAAAAAAAACGCACAAGTACCACACCGCATCTGCATCGATAACATTTTGAATTCATCTGAAATTATACTTGTTTTAATAAAGGAGGAATATACATTATAATGTGTCTTTTATGGCACTGTCGCCATACAAAATTTGGCAAAAAATTTCAATGTATTAGGATTTCCGCTAAGGTAGCAGAATATCCAAACAATAAGAATTCTCGATAAGGGACCAAAATATTGTTGTCAGTTAAAGGCTGAAGATCGATTTTAACTGTTAACTTTATTCAAATTTGTTCTGCTTTTATACATATTTCTTAGGACTTTTAATCCCTTTATAATGGACTTATTTTGTTATTATTATTTATTATTATGACTTCCTTAATGTAGAATTCTTAACTTAAGAATTTGATAATAAGATAGCTTTCTTAACATGACTTATTTAACATAACTTATTAGAATATATTACAACATACTTTATTTATTCACTATTTATATAATTATTTTATTTATGGTTTAATATTCATTTTATTATAATAAATTAATATTAAAACCACCGCCACCAGCACTAATTAAAAAAAACACGTTTGTAAACAAAACAAGAAACGTCAAAGCATGAAAGCTTTTATTAAACAAAACACAAAGCACGGCGAATTCAGAACACCCGAAAACACAAAGCATAGAAATTACATCCAGGCGAACAACAGCCACACAATACAACAAGTACCAAAAATACCAACGGCGAATGTACCGACGCGCTACACTAAAGCTTCGGTCGTTTGAATAGAAATATAGGCACATTGTACAAGAAAAGGGTCTTGTTTGAAGGGCAGTAACATGTCTTCGAAAAACAAGGTAGTTGAGTGAATAGAACCGTAGTCAAGGTAGTCATCATACATTTTGATCAGTAGTTTTATAATTAATCGTGTCAAGATAGTCATGATATATCTTGACTACTAGACTGTATATGTAAATCGTGTCAAGGTAGTCATCATACATCTTGACTACTAGATCGTATATGTAAATCCTGTCAAGGTAGTCATCATACATCAGTAGTTCTATATGCAAATCGTGTCAAGATAGTCTTGACCCGTAGATATTGTATTTAGATTTAAATAACTCAGATTAAAATTCTACTTCCTAGCTAATAAAGTCTTGTCCAAAAACAAAAAGATTAACAAGAACAGTGTCTTCTGTACGAGATCATGAAAACTACGTCCGGACCAGTTACCAAGTAACGATAATCTTCCAGGAATCAAACGTAGTGAACAATAAAATCATCAAATTGCCTTCACCTTCCAAAATTAACAAAAAAAAAAATAAATTGCATCAACCCCTGGACAACGGCCAAGCATACGTTAGCACTATCAGCGAACAAAATGTGTCGTTACCATCTGAAATTAAAAAGCAAAAATATCGATTCACACGACGCATCAGTTTTTAATTATTTTCACACGATATTTACTTTGCACATGTGATGTATACATATGATAAATAACAGTTTTGTTTCATTTTGTATGAAAATTTCAAACATTCCTCAAAACTATACACAATAGCATAAGTTTGTACTGCAAAATACTTTACCATTAAAAACTGTCCAAGATAAAATCAACTTGATTTTGTTGTTGTTGTTGTGGTTTCTTGAGTTAGTGCTATTGTGCACTTTTACTCTTTTGTGCCTGCGGGGGCTTATCCCTGCCCTTCACTAAGCTTTAACTATACTGATATTCATATCGTTTATTTATCGTTTAACTGATGACGGACCGTAGGTCAACATATCTTCCTGTGGGTCCAAAGTGGACTTGAGGTTTCTTAGGGTGGGGATGGGCAGCGTATCAACTTTATATATTTTATACATAATAATTTACTTCAAAATAAATCTTAAATATTGTCCAAAACAACAAACTTTGGTACTTTAATAATAATAAATACTGTGATTTCATTTGTTGCATAGTTTTTAGTATTAGGCTAATGTGTTGAGAAAAAGATAGCGCAAAACCTTTAGGTAATTTTCGCATTCGACACTCTTAGAAGTGGATCGCATCACAATATGGCAATATCACTCCCCCTTGAGTGATGGAGCCCCAGTTGATATGTGCCTATAGCTGAGGTGGTGTACTTGTCTAGTTTGTGTACTGATTTGACAAAAACAACTCAAGTTTTTTTACAATGCTTTGCCCATTATTAGTGTTGTCTAAACTGGCTAAGATTGTATTCTACTTGGCTGAAGTTGGCTGCTCAAAATGTTGTCCTCAAACCTCACTGACTTCATAACTTTTTTTGAGGGTTTTCTTGAGGGTTTTAATTTAATATCTACGCCAGCATCAATATACGCTGGTTTCAGTCTTTCCACCGACAGATTCTGGCACTTGCCCAAAATTGTATTTTAATACACACCCGGTGATGCATTCTAATCCGAGTTTATGCCAGTTCTAACAGTTTCTTAACAAGGTCCGATATAATTGTGAATACAGTCGGAGCTGTTGTGATACTTTATAAAGCCTTGTTTTTTGTATACGCAGCTAGAATCAGACGAATCTGGCAAGTGGGCATTGTTAACTTTGTCACGAACTTTCATTATTTTAGATAACTCGTCAGTTTCATCTACAATCAATTTTTTATTAAGCATGACTGTTACTGAAATTATAGATGAATTTGAACCAATGTAGACGTAACCCTATCTCTGGTGTGCGGCTTACAAATGCGTTGCTGGTTACTGCAAAAGGACATGAGAATGAGTTACGTTTTCCTGACTGCTGCTATTAAGATGGCAAACATAAATAATGTATATGTAAATATATATATTATTTTATTTCACAATCGGGAAAACTCTAAAAACTATCCCTGTCATTTTTATGAGAAAAATTTCAACGATTTTTATTGAGTCTTTCTGCAACTGTATTGCCTACGACGGCTATACTCAACAAATAGACATTGTTATTGGAAGAGCAAAATTAAATTTTGTTTAAATGACAGATGTACTAACAAAATGAAGTCACAGGAAAAAAAAAAGCTTCTCAACAATATCTCTTGAAGTTTTCTGATAAGTTTTTGGAGGTATTTTTGTATTAAAGTTTCAAAATAATATGCTTCAGTTTCTAATCGAGAATAGCAATAGTCTACAGTAATTGCTACCGCCGTGAATAGAAGTATATAAAATGCAGTTTAAATAAAATCTCCAGCTATTTCGATCATTTCGTAGGTGAGTGAATGTCAATATATAATATTTTTTTTAGTAGTTTTTCTAAAGAAAAGTCCATTTTTGTTCCACCGACTTAAAAAAAATTAGCTAAGATTAACTGCATATGTTTTTGTTAACTATCCCCTTTAAAAAATAGAACTGAAGGACAGCATTATTTGCAGATTCTGTGAAATACAAAGTGAAGATCCTTCTGTCTAATCTGCTTTTGCTTAGGCAGCAAGTGAATGTATAGAAGATTTGTAGATGTCTCCTCAAGGTTAACTGATAGATGACATTAACAAATTTTTTTTGCTGCCGGCTTGTAAAGTCAGCTGAATTAATCTCTATGCATTTATTAGTATCTACATATAAAACTTGAACGAAATTTCTGAGTTGAAGAATACACAGCAAATCAAAGTCTTATTTGTTATTTCACTAATTTTAGTTTTACCTAATTTTAATTATAATTTTCACTTCTTTGCAAAGTATCCGATCTTCATCTCTGTTAACTGAAAACATTTGCTATAAATAATAATAATAATAATAATAATAATAAAAAAATAATTTCTTGCATTATTTATGAATATATATTTACATTTTCTCCAATTTTTGTTGCATAGTCGATTGTCTTCACTACTGTTTCCTTTTTCCTCCTAACTTTAGGTAAAAAACGTAATAAAAGCTCTGAGCTCTATCATCCCTCAAAGGCGTCTGAGAATGGCGAGGAAGCAGAAAATCCTGGCAAACGAAAAGGTGAGTAGATTAGTGTTACTTAAGTTACCACAACAAAAAAAAACACGGAAAAAGCGGATTAGGTTCACCATATAATAGACCACTTGAGACAACTAAATACGAAGTCTGAACGCCAAAGCTGATAAAATTAGCACAATAAATACTTGAAAAGTATACAAAAAAGCGAGCGGAAAACTGAATATTCACACTAATTTAAGAATAGTAAATAGGCGGTAGAAATACACGACTCCAGCTTTCCGTTGGCTTCCAAGTTGGAAATTTGTCCGTTCTGATTTATTAAAACAAAAATGTGAATAAAAAATTCGAGTGTAGTGTTTTTGGAAGAGGAAGGGGAACGAATAGAAAATGCCTATACAAATAATAGCTTTAGTTGCGAAAATACGCTACATAATTGTATATCAATACTCGGAAATGTTTCTATCCTACCTTTTAATGCTCATTTAATGATTTGTAAATAATTTAAATGCAAATACAAAAAGTGAAATGTAAGGCATATTTGAAAACAAAGTAAGTTTCAAACGAAAAAATTAAACACCGTCCCTTTTTATTTCAGGGAAATTATTTGGATAGCGTTATTTTTCATAGAATGTGCTCTACAGAAGCATTGATTACTCTTTCCAGTTATGTATTCGGTCAATAGAAATATTCTCCGCATTAGTTATTATATTTCACTACGTCTTACTACTTTTAGATTTGTTTTGTGTTATGAACTATTTATGATCCGTTTATATACACTAAGATATATTTAAGTATGAGTGGTTTTTCAAGTAAAATAATTTAATTCTGTAATTTTGTACATGTAACAAAAGTTGATTAATACCTCATACCTTCTGCTCAAAAAGTATCCGGATTTTTTTGTTTGTTAACTACTCCTTAAGTAATAGACCTTTTTCAAAAAAATTTTTTTTTTGAGATATTGGTACGCCTTTTTTTTACATATGGTACAAATTTGAGCGCCATCTGTCAATTAGTTCGTTTACAGCAGCTGTTAATGTGAAACTACCTCAATACCTCAAGTGCATTTAGCGATTTTTACTATGGAAAATTCTTGTTGTACGCGATTTTTTGACCAAACACGGCTGTCAACACCACTGTCATCGCTCAGGCACCATATTCGCCAGATCTGGATCCGTGGGATTTTTTCCTGTTCCCGAAACTCAAATTGCCCCTTCGTGGTAAGCGTTTTGAGTCGATTGAATCGGTAAAAGAGAATTCGCTGAAGGAACTAAAAGCCATACCTTCACGAGCCTACGAAAAGTGAATGGAAGATTGGGTTAAGCGTTGGCATATGTGTATCGTTTCAGAAGTAGCATATTTTGAAGGAGATAAAATAAATTTGGAATAAAATTTTAAATTTGTGTGTTTTATTTACAAAATACGAGTACTTTTTGAGCAGAAGGTATTTTTCAACTGAATTTGAAAAAGAGGAAGTTTAAAAACGAAACACGTATTATTCCTGACACCTTAACATATTTTCGTTATTCAATTCCAAACAAAAGTCATTCATTCTTTATTCGTAACGCGTTAGCATCTAAAATTGTCGTCATACAAGCTTATTCATCTTTTAACCTCAAAATCGCATTCTAGTTTAACTTGAACGTTTTGTCATTTTCATTTGCAGATGTTATATTGAGCAGCGAGAACGATGACAGCTACTACGATAGCTCAGCTGTAACCCGATGGCAACTCAATAGTAAAAGCAACTTAGCATTAGCGCTAACAATGCTTTGGATGCTGCTGGTGCTCACATCCACAGCAATGTCAAGATGTGTGACTGAAGCTTTGCAGCTTCTCCAACACTGATTTATGTGGAACTGGCATTTTTGATGCAGTGATTAGTTTTGACTTGCTGTTAAGTAAGTTACGTACTTATGTATACAGACATAAATATGTATGTGCAAGTATAATGTAAAGTAATATCTGAAATATAAATTCTTTTAAATAAACAAATAAACATATAATTAAATAGCGAAAAAAAGAATTTGTGTTGGAAAAAATATATGTCTAGCATTTTTACGTTCTTTATAACACTGGTGGCTATTTCATTAGTCATGATATACTAACTTCAATGTGTTCTTTAAGTAATATTTTGTTTTGTAAATAACTATTTTACTCAGAATATAGTCTGATTTTGTTTTTTTTATGTAAATTTTATTTAAAACATCTATTTAAGCTCCTTGCATTATTTTGACAATATAACTCATCTGCTTCTTTCTTTACCTGCTATTTAAATATATGTTATATGACGTATAAAAGTAATGAAATTAGTAATAATATGTATATAAAGACATATATTAAAAGAAGCCTATATGACATAATATGTTAATTGTATCAAAAAAACAAACAAAAATGTTAACTCATATGAAAGTAACAGAACAGTTTAGTATTAAAAAACTGAACATTTATTTTCAGTTCGGCAAGTGGCGTTAGAATGACGAAGTACGACTACATACTTAATATAATTATACATAGTATACATACATATTATACATATGCATATATATATATATATATATATATATATAAAGATATATATATAAATACATATTTATATACATAAACACATCAAAATTTGTTTTATCAAACAAGTATAGAATATAAAAAAATTATTTAAATGGACACTCCATTTTTAGATACAAAGCCCTCTTTGATCTATTGGCGCCATTACAAACCAACATTGTTGATTGTTTCTAAAAGATGATTATTCTTAGTATATCTACAACCAAAGTAAATATATATAATAATATATAAGTAAAATATATGAATGCATTAAAAGCATACATAAATATTTAAAGAAAAACAAAACTTTAATTAAGATTGCAAACACAATATATGTAAAAATATACTCAGTATATATAGTTAAATATTCGACTATAACATACAAATACACATAATCTTATTATATAAGCTTCCTGTTAATATGTATAACTAATAAAAACAATTCATTATGGAAGCACTAATTTGTTGATATTTAAATAAAAACAAATAATACCAAATAAATATTAATTTTAAATTAAGCATATTTAATTAGTATATTAATAGCTTTAGCTTTCCTTCTAAATTTATGAGGTTTATTAAGTTTGTAAATAAGGTCACATTAATTCTCTTTAATTATCTTTAATAATTTTCGTTTTTTGTGCTTTAGACTTGCTTATAAAAATTGGTTGGTATCAATAAAAAATAAGCAATATATCGGCGTAGGTCATACAGCTACGCCTAATGCGATACTCGTTATCAAGACATATACTCGTTTTTCCAAGAAGTATTTCTTTTGAACACTTCTAATGTCTTCTCATCACTATTGGTCACTGACCAAGCTTCTGCTTCGTACAATACAACAAGCATAACAAGAGCCGTGCAGATCATGAATTTTATTTGTAAAGAGAGGTCTTTATTTCTCAATTGCCTACTTAGTTCGTTGTAACATTGGTGGTAATGACAGTTCTGAACTTTGACAGTCTTTGACAGTTCTGAACTTTTATGAATGGTGCCAAGTTATAAATAAATTTATGCGCTTGTTTGAAATATAACTCCACAAAATAAAAGTTGATTTAAGTAATAATCGAGATTAAAGTACTTCTCTCGTAGTTTAATCTCAGATTTCTCATACAAAAGTTAATCTTCTTTTGATCGAGATTAATTTTAAATTTCCTTCGAAATATTGATTATTTTCCTGTGCAACTCTGCAAATGACTTCATATCGTAGATTTTTTTATGATCTTATGTTAAATTTTATGATATTCTTAAATATATCATCCATTTTCATATAAACTAAAACTGGTGATCACCTCCACCTGAACAAAATTGCAATGAACAGGAAACCTATGTATGTAGCGTCTTGATCACATTTTTCACTTCAAATACAGATAATCGATCTTCATGTGCCATAAATACGGAGGCTACATATACCAGATGACAAGATATACAAGATCAGAAGCGTTAAGGGAAACGTTAAGGGAAACACATACAAAACAATTGAAATGTTATTTAGCTAGTTTAGCTAGCTCAGATGGCCTTTTTAAGGTACGATGGCATTATTCAAATATTGCTTATACAGAGAAGAGTCCTGGATGTAAAGCTTTATGCACTAAGCATGGAGGTAGTGGTAAGTGTAATGAAATTTACAAAATGATATTAGATTTTCTAATTTTTTTTCATCATATTCTATAGTTTGATTGATGAATTTGTTTTCTGTACATTTTTAGTAAATATGAATTCGTTCCTAAATATGAATTCGTATATAAATATAGCTGTGCAGAATATTTTGTTTCTATATAATGCAGTTCATTCTTTTACGATTCAACGAAGTTAGTCTATTAAAAAATGATTACATCTAAGCCCGAATTGGTGATCTGAAATGTTTTGTTTTTTTTTTATAATTCTATAAAGGGTGAACTCTTAAGGTATAATGAAATCCTCTAATTTGATGATATTTAGCTTTGGATATTATTAAGTAAGAGAGATATTTAGTAAAAGAGATATTTTTTAAATATTGGATGAAAATAATGTCTTGTTCGACGTCCCTTTGAGGGAAAATTGTGTATCTTATTTCATCATTTACTTTTAGTGTGAATCCTTTGCTTTACAGCTTTTTTGCCAAACAATGTCCATGAAGCGATTTATAGTGGTAAAGGTATATATTTAATATTAAATAAATAATAAGAATAATAATAATAGAATTTTAGATTCAAAAACTTTTAAAAAATTGTTCAGAGTGATTAAAATCAACGTTAAGAAAAATAGGTGAGGCTTTTACAGTTAGAAGGTAATTTTTGGTCATAAAAATGTATTACTTATTGCGGATAATGACATTAGATTATAATAATCTAATTAATCTATAATTTATATAGATTATATAAATTATTCGGTGCTTATCATTTCGCTTAACTTTAGAATGAAATACATTTGAAAGACGTAGTTATATCAAGCAATCTATCTTCAGTTTGTTAGATGAAACAGTAATCACTTACAGTTAAATATTTTATTTCAATCCAAGTTTAGTGAGGAAAGTTATTGCAAAACAAAAATTAGTAAAACTTAAAAAAGTTGTTATATATTTAATTGTTCAATTGATTTCAAAAAGGAGAAGAACCCAAAGAGCTTTGTATGCAGTGATAACAGTTGAGTCTATTATGCCTTATCGAAAGTTTCATCACTACACTTATCTCTATAGTTAATGGCAGTTAATGAAAGGAATGTGTTACTTTGATTTGAAAATAGCACTGCAATAGTTTTACCTACAAATAAATAGTTTGATTGTTTCCCAAATTTTTTATAAGGAATGTAGAAATATAAATTACTTGCTCCTAACAGTTTGTTATATAAACTGAAGTTAGAAACACTTCATACTACAAATATTACAGGTCTGCGAACAGTCTACACCAAAATCTCATAAAGTTATAATCGATATTCAACACCAATGACTCACAAGTATTGGTGCTGTAGGTACTATAGGTGCTGTAAACAAGCACTTTTAGTTTTTCATTTTGCATTTTGATTATATATAGTGTTGCAGTGTTGTAGTGCTTAACAATAACTAACTTTATTTTAATATAATATATTTACAATTGAAGCAGCAATTACTTTTTAAATTTATGTGAAATCGAATAGTTTTGAACTAAATGCCAATGGAGTTTTTATACTTGAAATTAATTATATCGTAGTGCTGTTGAAGCTTTATTTAATGTCCTAATATTTTTAACAATTTTTCGGTTTCTATTTTCTTTGATGCTAGCACTTTTAAAATAAATTAAGCAGTACTCAGATGAAATTTTATGAAGACTGCAGTCTAAAATTTTTAACGAATTTAACAGCAAATAAATTCCCTTATTTAAATAAATAAATAAGGGAATAATAAATAGTTATCTTTTTCGTAGTATTATATGAATTTCCCCAACAATCAACGTTCAAGGAAAATTTTAAAATGGACAATAAGAATTCTGAGTATATTTGGAATGTGGAAAAGGAAAGAGGAGAATAATAATATAATAAATCGCTTCTATGAATTTTTGTAGAGGACCTACTTTATGGAAGTACTTTTTTCAATGTAATAGTACTTAAATAGCTTCATTCAAAAAAATGATTAAGTTGATTCAACTAAATCTCAGATCAAAATATTTTGGTTCAACCATAATACATGCTGTTTTTTATCACATCTTTACGACATGAGATAGGATCTAAGGAACTAGTAGCTACTATATTGCAAATGCTATTCCAAACCATTTCAATGAAGGAATTAACCATATGTTGACAGAAACAATGTCAACATTACTTTTATATATATCTTTGGCTGAGTAAAAAATATTGAAATATTATTAAAATATTAGTAATTTTGATAATGAAATGATAATAGACAATGAAAACTAAACATATAAGATAAATTCATATAAAAAAAATATTGGTCGCCTGACCAAACAATTTAATTGATCAAATGGAAATACACTGTTTTTCATCATGACAGCGAGATCATAGCTATCCGTTGTGACCCCCAAATTATAGAATATGGCACTCTGATCTCGTTCGTCATGAGAATTATACTGTAGATGCAGCAAAACACAATTAATTATTTAGTAATCACTTACAGTTAAATATTTTATTTCAATCCAAGTTTAGTGAGGAAAGTTATTGCAAAACAAAAATTAGTAAAACTTAAAAAAGTTGTTATATATTTAATTGTTCAATTGATTTCAAAAAGGAGAAGAACCCAAAGAGCTTTGTATGCAGTGATAACAGTTGAGTCTATTATGCCTTATCGAAAGTTTCATCACTACACTTATCACTATAGTTAATGGCAGTTAATGAAAGGAATGTGTTACTTTGATTTGAAAATAGCACTGCAATAGTTTTACCTACAAATAAATAGTTTGATTGTTTCCCAAATTTTTTATAAGGAATGTAGAAATATAAATTACTTGCTCCTAACAGTTTGTTATATAAACTGAA